ATCTTGAGGCCTCCATTGTTGTTGATAACCTTGGTTGCCTCTTTGTTGGTAACCTTGTTTTCCTTGTTGGTAAGGTGGTCGAAGTTGATACCCTTAGTTTTCATTTCCTGCATAATTCGCCTCTTCAACCACCGGAGGACAATACCTAGTATAGAGATCTCCTTTACAAAGCTCACAACTCGCCACTTGTTTGTTTTTGTTGGGAATCGCTTGCATTCCTTTCATTTGTTGTGGAAGTTTTGACTTTTTTGAGTCAACAACTCCACTTGCACTTGTTGTGAAAGCAATTTGTTTTGCTCAAGAATCGCGTCATTTGTTCCCAACTCTATCATGCTTGACTTCTGTTGAGGTGTACCATGGTTGTGGTTTCCTTGGTGATTATTGATTGACATCCTATCAATAATAGCAATTACGTCTTTCTCACTTTTGGACATTAACGACTCGCCGAAGTAGAATCCAACAAAATCTTGTGAACCAATTGGAGCCCATTTCGGGAGATGTGCACATGAGTTAATTTATCAAAATCGTGTCATTTTAATTTTTGTAACATGTATTTGAACCTCTCCCAAGCTTCACTGAGATATTCATTGCCACCTTGAGCAAACACCAATATCGTCATCTTCGCTTCAATGAATCTATTGTATGGAAAAAACCGTTCAAGGAACTTTTCTTCCAATAAATTCCAATCAGTCATTACTAAATTTGATTGATCAAGATACTATTCCTTAGCCTTCCCGATTAGAGAATAAGGAAATAGTCTCTTAAATAAAGATTCCTCTTCCGCTTCAGGAGCTCCCGTTGCACCCACAATTTCGTAGAATTTGGTGAGATGTATGAACGGTCCTCGTGGTCCATACCGGTAAAAGGATTTTGGTATATAAGTGCAAGAACTTCCGTTTTCATCTCTGAATGCCTCCCATTGTTGGCGTTTTGCATAAACTGAGGACTATGCCTTGGACTGTTGGTACATGGAGTTGACAAAGGAGGTGATGGTGGAGGTGGATTTTCCATGTTTGGCGTTGGTGTAACAATTGGTGTTGATGAAGAAGATTTTCTTTGCTCTCTTCTTTCTATAGCACATTTTCGTCTCTGTCTAATTCTTCTATTGAGTCTACGAGCAGTTATTTCATTCTCAGGATCAAAAATAAGTTTGTTTACAGGCACCCTCCCTCGCATAAATAGATTCTGCAAACTATACAAACAAATTAAAAAGCACAAGACAATTACAAAAGTAAGATTTTACAATACAAATATCTTAAAATCACTAAACTGTTGCAATACTTGCAATATCAATATCGACAACAATCCCTAGCAAAGACGCCATTTTGTTGAAAATTATTTTAGGTGGGTTGTTTTATCGTATCCGCTGGGATAATTCTGATATCTCGATGATTGTCGTTCAATAGTTTAAAGTTCTAAGAAAAGGATTTTCAAAGAGTTATTGTTTTGTAATATATGTTTTTGTAGCAAAGAGTAAACTAGAGAAAGATGTTTTGTTTTAAGAAAAGCATGTCAAGATTAGATTTTGTTAATCCCTTTCATACATATCCGGTTAATCAAGCATGTGAACTTAGTTTTGATCAATACAGTCGTGTATCCTCGCGGATTCGTTTATTTCTAAAGCGGCTTTGTGGGTATTATTGTTTAAATCGCTAGATGATTTCTCGAAATAATAATTGAAACAATAAGCATAAAGATCGATATAAAGCAAATATTAACTTCCAAACCTATGTCTAGAGTTTGGTTGTTAATATATGAAGAAATTAGATCAAGACTTAGAAAATCTATGTCCAGAGTGATTCAAATCATACATACACATTAAAAGCAAAGATCTTCATCATATATAGATCATCAACCTTGTTCACATACAAAAGATCAAAAGAAATACATACTAGTAACGTTAACTACCTTTAATCTTGACACAAAAGGATTTAGCTAGCCATCACCATGGTAGCTTGATCAATAAGTAAAAAGGAAAACTTTGATAACATCAAAGTCGAAGAATCAAAGATTGGTGCTCCAAAGTTTTGATTCTCACTTCTCTTGGAGTTTCTAAGCTTTTCTAACCTAAAAACCCCTTATAATCTTAAAAGTTCTGAAAAATTAAGTGATCCCAAAATATCTTTACAAGTGACTACTTATAGAAAGTACAAGAAGTGCCAATAAGTGGCACAACGCAAAGCACCATCAGGAGCGCGCTAAGCGCGGTTAGCATAAAGGCGGCAATTTCGTAGAACGTGCGCTAAGAATGGTTGGAGCACTCTAAACACGAGCAAAGCCCCTTAGCCACTGATTCTACAGTAAAACCACATTGAACTCGTGTTGTAAATTGCGCTAAGCGCAATTTACCGACAAAAAGTTGCGAAAAGGATCTTTTAGGCCTTTTTCTCTTCACCATAGGTTCCAAGCATTATATATAAGCAAGACCTATCAAAAAGCATCAAAATGATCATAATTCACAATATTTACAATCATAATTGAAAACTTGCATATTTACACTAAAACATATGAGTTTACTACTAAATACCAAGGAAACAGTTGGAAAGGGCCACAAATATCATCAAAAATATGCACAATTTGGCCCTTAACAGTAATGCAATAAGACTCATAATCTGAATCAATGATATGCTCGTGTTACCAATTTTCATGAACACTCAGGTTCACCGATCTGATCCCCACCTCCTAGGATCAGAACCAATCACTGATCTATCACCTATGAAATCAGCTACCAGTCTAATCAACAGAATGGGATTTTAGGCTCACCAACAGGACTGTCATACCCCAAATTTTACCCTCAGATTCTTTGATCTTTTGCATATCATTCTAGGCCAATCATGTTACATAACTAACAAGTTCATCAGCTTTTGTTCATTTTGTTTCACTTATGAATCAGGGTTTGACTTTAAAAACTTCAAGGATGGTTGAATTAAGGTTTTGGATATGAGGTTTCTACTTAGATGGATTCCCTTTGTTCAGAGGTTGTTTCTTTCAGTTATTGTACTCAAGTTTGAGACGGAGGTGTTGGTTTTTCAATTGTCATAAGAAGTGCCTATCAGAGGTTTATCAAGGCGCGACTTCATTTTTTTTGAACTATCATAAGGTGTCGTTTGTTCAAGATTTTGTCAGTGGTTTGACTAGAAAGATCCAGAATCAGGATTTTGAAGGATTAGGGTTTCTCACCCTTTGTGTTGTGATTTACAAACGTCGTTCAGTTGTGTCTCTTAAGGTTAGAAGGTTCAATGTGTGTGCAAGTACTATTTGGATCGTTAGAATTTTCATTATTGGCATGAGGATTTGTCAGGTTGTTGTCCAATCAAGCTGGATTTGAGTTTATGTTGTTGTTCAGGATTTGTGGCAGTCAAGGTGATGTGGAGGCGCATTATTTCCATACTCGTTCCCGTAACCATTTTCTATGTCCACCCATCATTCAGTTCTTTTTACCTGATTACCATTTCTTTTTAATCCATCTTCCATTATAACCAATTTCATAATCCAATCCATTTGAATTACCTATTCCTTTTTTTTCCAACATTAAACCCATCTATATTCCATTTTCTGTTTTTATTTATTTATCCATTTTATTGTTATCCACTTTTATTTTATTTCATCACCCATGTTGAAATCCTTTTTTTCCTCTTAATTTCCAAATTACAATCCATAAATCCATGTCATAACATCCATCAATAGTTATATCCCATTCATTATACTAAAAATGTGTCACAAAAATACAATAAGCCCATGGTTCAAAATTACAAAACAAAACCAAAAACAAGTGGCTTTGCCCACCGTACCAACCAAGTTCACTATCCTCTAACCTATGTTGCTGCAACTTTGACCAAAAGTACCTGTCCATAAGCTCCCAATCCTGAATTTTTCACTGTCCTACCATGGTATTGGGACAAAATTTCCATAATACCATTGTTTTCCACATATATCCCAAATTACCATCTTTTCAAAAAAATTGAATTTTTGGTTGAAAACGACCGCCCAACCAATGGGCAGCAATGACCAATTTTTAAAAGCATCCGCCCTTCCAATGGGCGGCTATGACCAATTCCCTTTTTTTTTCGTTTTATTTTTTAAAATATAATTAATATATATATATATATATATATATATATATATATATATATATATATATATATATATATATATATATATATATATATATATATATATATATATATATATATATATATATATATATATATATATATATATATATATATATATATATATATATATATATATATATATATATATATATATATATATATATATATATATATATATATATATATATATATATATATATATATATATATATATATATATATATATATATATATATATATATATATATATATATATATTAATATTTATTAATATATATAATATTATTAATATATATATTAATATTAATAATAATAATAATATTAATATTATTATTATTTAATAATATTAATATTATGCATAATGTAAAAATTAATATTATATATATATATTATTAATATTATTAATATTATTATTATTTAATAATATTAATATTATCAATAATGTAAATATTAATATATATATATATATATATATATATATATATATATATATATATATATATATATATATATAATAAAATTATTAATATTATTATTATTTAATAATATTAATATTATCAATAATGTAAATATTAATATTTTCAATAATGTTAATATTAATATAATCAATTAATGTATAATATTAACTTATATTTTGTAATGCATAATTTATATCATTAACTAATATTATTTAATACATGATGGTTAATAAAAACACTAACGATTACTTGTTCCCACATTGGGACACCGGGTTCGATTGTGGCCCGTTTGACGACACATTGAACATTTTCTCTCAAGCTTATCAAAGTTATCCATTTCGGTTGTAATACGTGTGCTTACTGGACGACCTTTCTTGTTCCTCCACATTCTTGGGTTATGGAAAATTTGATATCCTTCATAAACGGGTCAATATTCATCGTACGACATCACTGGAAAGCTATTGCTGTAAACCCCAAACAGGTTTGTAACCCTATAAACGTCAGACAAAAGAGCATAAGCGTCGTGGCGCACGTTCGAACATGCAGTGATAACATGTGAGCAAGGGACACAAAATGCTTGAAACTTTCCGCAGTCACACCATCCGTTCAAGAGGTCGACCTTATAATGTCCCATAGGCTTCCCCTCACCATGGTCCATTGTCTCCTTCACACTGAAAACATTGTTAGCGTAGTCAAAAATTCGGACTTGATGTGTGCTGGATTTTGTTGTTTCTTCTTTCATCACCTTGAGGCAGTTGTCTGTAAATGTTTCGCCAGAATTTAACACAACACTCCACTTTGAACCCCATTCAGCAAATAAAGATCCCAACCTATAATATGTTGCCCTTACCAATGCTGTAATGGGCAAATGACGTATGCCTTTAAAGACAACATTCATTGACTCAACAAGGTTGGTAGTCATGTGACCCCAACGTCGACCCCCGTCAAATGCTCTTGTCCATTTTTCGACTGGAATAGTGTCAATCCACCTTAAAGCATTTGCATTTGCCATGCCAATCTCTGACCGATAGTAATGAAATGTTGGTTGGTTTAAAGCGTACCCTGAATAATTAAAATATCAATCAATACATGTTATTGACAAAATTTAATAAATATTATGAAATATATTGAATAAATATTATGCAAAATATAGTTACCCATGTTAATTATTTTTTTCCGTAGGTTCCTGTCCTTGATTTCTCTCATAAAATTTTGTGCAATGTGTCGGATACAATAAACATGCACTGATGGGGGATCATGCCAACCATTTTCCACATTGTTGTATGCACTTTCAATTGATGCATGTCGGTCTGAAATTAAACATAGACCTGGTTGTGGCGCAACATGCCTCCTTAAGTTTCTCAGAAAAAATCTCCAACCTTCAGCGATTTCACCTTCCACAAGGGCAAAAGCAATAGGAAATATATTGATGTTGCCATCTTGTGCCACTGCGATAAGCAGTGTACCCCTGTACTTGCCGTATAACCAGGTTCCGTCAATTTGAAGTATAGGTTTGCAATAGGCAAAACCCCTGATGCATGGTTGGAATGCCCAGAATAGCCGGTGGAAGATGTGTTTCCCTTCAACAATAGTTCCGTCGGCTGTATACATGGGTAAGGTTTCTATTTCCAGCACAGAGCCCGGAACGAATTTTTTAAGTGCTAACAGAAAATGTGGAAGTTCATTGTATGAGCTCTCCCAGTTACCGTAAACCTGTTCAATTGCTTTATTTCTTGCTATCCATGTCTTTCTGTAAGACGGAGTAAAATTGTATTCAGAAACAATTTTACTTATGCAAACACTAACCTTAATAGAAGGATCCTTGTCTACAAAAGGCATTAATTTCTGAGACATTAACTGTGAGGTTAGTTTTTGATGATCCTGATTAAACAAAGTTGTTGAGCAACTATGAGGTGGGTTCATAATGCCTATCTCCCACAAGTCACTTCTTTTACGGTAGGACGCCAATAGACAAAACTTGCAGGAATCATTCTTGCAACAAATTATGTATCTCTTCTTGTCGGAATTTGTCACTTTATAATCCACACAATGTTTCATGTGGTATTGCTTAATAGCAGCAACACAGTCAGCTTTATTTTTAAATTGGTTACCGACTTCTATGTCACCCTCCATTGGAATATGAGGAGTCCGTGGCCAATCAAATGATGTTGTTTCTACATTTAATGGCAGGGTTGTCATATGTGCCGGTGGGGTGAATACATTCTCAACTAGAATGTATTGTTCATCTCTGTTGACTTCGTTGACAATGCTCCCTTCCTCAAACAAAGTAGAAAATAAATCATCAACCTGTGCCTCGTTTTCTTCTTCGCCGTCTTCTTCTTCGACTGCTTCGTGTGGAATTATAGACAGATTGATGACCTGAGAATTTTGAGTTTCTTCACATTGTGCAAATGTTACATATAATTCAATGTGTTGAAACCCAAAACGTTCATGATTCGAGAACATCGTTTCAACATCGTCGTCGTCACGAACCTTTAGTGGAACAAATTTAAAGTGATTGTCCCCAAAATGGACAATATTTTTGTACGTAATCTGTGACACTGATCCAGCATTCACCTTCATCTGTAACCTTTCCTTAAAATGTTGGAATGACGATCTTTTATTTACACTGAAACGACTTACGTCAGTGTTTTCAAAGATCAAACCGACTTCATCTGATACAACAACACTCCCATCGAAATGAGCATTAACAATGTATTGGTGGCTAGAAGACATTATGTAAGACAGTATTAGAAATGAGTGGATTATTTGAAGAAATAATTGAGTGGAATGTTTGAAGCAAGATAGTTTCAAAATAAATATAGAAGATAGTAGTAGTAGAAATTGGGTGGAATAAATATAGAAGATAGTAGTAGTAGAAATTGAGTGGAATAATTATAGAAGATAGTAGTAGTAGAAATTGAGTGGAATTAATAAAGAAGATAGTAGTAGTAGAAATTGAGTGAAATGTTGAAAGAAGATAGTACTTAGTACGTCCACCATGCATGCAACGGAAAAAGCAGGTCAAAGGTATGTTAAATGCTTCCGCCCATTAATGGTGCGGTTGACAGGAAATTAATGGCTGCCGCCCATTGAGAATGAGGCTTATCAGACCAAAATAAATGCTGCCGCCCATTGAAAGTCTACCAGCTGCGCATTCAAAGCGCGTGTGTCTGAAAAGTGCAGACAACTTTGATGGTTGCCGCCCATTGAGAATGCGGGTTGTCAGCACAAAAGCAACATAACCGCCCATTGATGGTGCGGCTTTAATGCGAAACCAACGTTTCCGCCCATTGAAAGGGCGGATGTCTACATTCCCTCAGCTCTGCAAACATGCATGCAGCCACGTACAAGCATTGAAACCCTAAATTTTTTTAACCTCACTTCATTTATTTTTCTACCATCCTTATCTCATATCATTTAATTTTTTACATATATTTTTCTCCCATAAATTTCTACTACCAATCCTTACTACCAATTTCAAAATTTTTACTACCATAAATTTCTACTACCAATCCTTACTACCAATTTCAAAATTTATACTACCATAAATTTCTACTACCAATCCTTACTACCAATTTCAAAATTTTTACTACCATAAATTTCTACTACCAATCCTTACTACCAATTTCAAAATTTTTACTACCATAAATTTCTACTACCAATCCTTACTACCAATTTCAAAATTTCTACTACCATAAATTTCTACTACCAATCCTATAATTCTACCAATTCTTAACTTTATCTCCTATCTTACACTATAACTCTCACTCTTGAAAATGGTTCTACTCACTTTAGGAGATGACCATCGCGGTACACTTGAAAACATTGCATCCTATGTAAGTTAATTTATATTTATTTACACAATTCACTTTAGTAAAGTTCAAATATTTTGTTTATGATGTTAGTTACATTCAAATATTTTGTTTATGATGTTAACATTCAAATGTTTTTTTTATAGGATGAAAAAAATTTCAAACCACGCTCGCATAAGTACATAGAGCCTGATGAGGTTATCAGACCATATTTGATTCGAGCGGGTTTCGGCCACGTCATCAATATAACATCATATGGAATTGATCGCAAATTCCTTCTCGCGTTGTGCGAAAGATGGCGACCAGAAACCCACACTTTTCACCTCCCCACGGGGGAATGCACAGTGACACTTGAGGATGTCCATATGTTGTTGGGTCTCCGTGTTGATGGGTCAGCGGTTGTGGGTGACACAAATGTTAACTATGCATTAGTAGAAGAACTATTAGGGGTGCCTTTGGAACGAGGTGATAGGAAGGGGCAAAGCATTAAAATCACATGGCTAAAAAGAAATTATAATGCTTTGAACCTAACCAATGAGTCTCCCGAGGAACAAAAACTTTATAAGACTAGAATGTATTTACTACTGCTTTTTGCATGTTGTTTATTTCCTGATACTAATGGTAATACTATTCATCTTCAATATTTACCATTATTAGAAGATTTAAATGAAGTAAGTAGATATAGTTGGGGCGCTGCTACCTTAGCGCATCTATACAGAAATTTGTGTAGATGCGCAATGAAAAATGTGCATAATTTTACTGGTTGTGGTGTTTTGATTCAAGCATGGGGATGGTCCAGAATGCCCAGACTGTCGCCCAGCAACCCCAATCCATATCACTTTCCATACACAACCAAGTAAGTATACAAAATTGTTTATGTAAATATTCTTTTCATCTTTAATTTTTACTAACTATTTCTTTCGTAGGTGGTCTGCGTATGGGATGAATTACGAAAAAACTCCGCATCATTGTGCTCCTGGGTATCGGACGTTCTTCGATCATTTTGAGGAAGACGATGTATTGTCTCTAATCCCTTATTTTTTTACTAGCACTTTCCATTTTTTTTCTAATCCTTTTTTAATTATGTTATAGTTTATATGGAGACCCTATCTTGAACTTGAAGATGAGGACCCAACTGAAAGCGATATGTGGAGTTCTACAACGTTCATTTTTTCTTTCACTTATGTTGAAATGCATCATTCAGATAGGGTAAAACTCCAATTCGGAATTAAACAAGACATTCCTGGTCCACCTACATGCATGGAGATGTACCACAAGAGTACGGCCAACGACCAATGGAAATTCGATAATTGGAGAGGCCACAACATACAAGAACATCAGCATTGGATAAATCGCCGTCGCACTGTTCTACGAGGAAATGTCATGGATACCGAATGTAAACCCAGTAGGGAATACATGCGTTGGTATAGATCTGTGACCAATTTGTATCTATCACAAAATAGATACTTGTGGGACCCTCGGAACCAACCAACTTCATCAAACATCCAAAACCAACCAACTCCATCAAACTTCCATAACATCCCTTCCATGACATGTAACACCCAACCACCAATATTTAACACCCCACAACCAATATTTAACACTCCACAACAATTATTTAACACCCCATTCAACCCCAACCCAACACAACCACCTTATACCCCAAGCCAAAACTACAATCAACCTTACACATCATTTAACCCAAACCCCTTCAACATCCAACAACAAAACCCAACCTTATCATACCCCCAATATAACCAATTCTCATTCTCTCAACCTACCCAACAAGAACACAACTACCAAACACCCCAACCACAAGTTCCTTTTTACCCTTCACAAAACTTCACCCTTTCTCAAGACCAAAATCCTTACACTCCCTACATTACTAACGCACAGCCACCTCTAAACCCACCAAGTTGGAGTAACGAGGGTACAAGAATAAGTTATGGAAGTGCGGCGGCGATACCAAATGACGACGATTTCAGTGATGATTTGGTCGCTTCCTTCATGAACCCTAACAATGATGCAGGACCATCTACACAGCCCCAAAACGTTGAGGTTGATCGTAGAAGGTCCACCAGAAATGTACAAGCTCCTGCCTGTGGAACCCACCAACGCTTACATCGACCGGGTCGAAATTAATTAGGGGTGACATTTATTTTAGTTCATTTATTGTATTTTATTTTAATGTATTTCAAGAATAAATAAAAATTTATTTTAGTTTATCTATTGTATTTTATTTTATAATAATTATTATATATTTAAATATAGTAATTTATTTTAAATAATACTATTTTTAAAATAATTATTTTAATTTTAATTTATTTTAATTTATTATAATTATTTATTTAATGATTTTTAACTAAATCTAATAAACATAATAAATATAAA